GAGGAAAAGAAAGACGAGAAGAAGGAGGAGTCGGAGGAGTCAGACGACGACATGGGATTCGGCTTGTTCGATTAGGTTCCTGCTCACCCCCCCCCCGACCCCCCGCTGGCAAATAAAACCCTTTTTATGTATCTATGAAGTGGCTTGTGAGCGTTTTGTAAGAGTGTGGCCTTGGCACAGGGCAGGTGTGGGGCCCCACCCCACGGTGGGTGGGCAGACCTTCATTCCAGGAGAAACCAGAGCCCTTCCTGGTGAGGTGGAGTTCCCAGGCAGGAGGAAATCCCTGAAAAGCTGGGGATCTGGTGCAGAAATAGGTACCTGGGAGGGGGGACATCTCCTGTGGATCTTGGGTGTGGTCAAGCCTTGAGTAGGCTCAGGAGGGGACGTTAGGCTTCTTGGGTACAGTCCTGGCTTCTGACGACTGCTGGGGCCTTCCCAGAGTGAAGCTTTCAGGGGGACACACAAGAAAACTTAAAAAGCAGCAGTGGGTGGTCTCTGTTGCCCTGAGACTGGTAGTATTCTTAAGTTACACAAAAGGAGAGGGGTGGGGGTGCCTGGTGCATGTGGGATCCCGAGTTTCCCTGCAGAGTTGGGTCCGTCCCATAGGTCCTTTGAAGATTTTTTATTTATTTATTTATTTGACAGAGAGAGAGAGGGAACACAAGCAGGGGGAGTGGCGGAGGGAGAAGTAGACTCTCCGCGGAGCAGGGAGCCTGATGCGGGGCTCGATCCCAGGACCCTGGGACCACGACCTGAGCCAAAGGCAGACGCTTAAGGACTGAGCCACCCAGGTACCCCCCTGTAGGTCCTTTGAGTTAGTGCAGCTACTCATGGCCTGGGCAGGTGTGGGAGTGGCTTGTAGGTAGTGATGTTGGGTCATGTGACCACGACGTCCCTTTGGGGCAGGCCTGCCTGTGCCTCTCCTGCCAAGCTCTGGCTGGGGTGGGGGGCAAGAGGCAGAGTTCCTCCCACTGCCATCCTGGGCCTTGAGTCCTCTGCCCACCAATGCCAGCCCACTTACCAGATGCTCTGCTTGCCCCGAGGAAGGCTCTGGGTCAGCAACAGGCTGTGGTGTGTGCAGCTATTGTGTGCCAGGCTACAGCTCTAAAGGATCTGCCATCCGTGGGCTGTAGTTCTGCAGGGAAAGAGCACAGAATGAATGTAATAAGGGACAGCTGGGGGGGGAGGGCCTTCCTCAGGTAGGGAGTCAAGACCTGGAGAAGGGGGTCTGCAGGGTAGGAGTGTGCATGGGAAAGAAGGCCTAAGACCTCTCCGGTTACCCTCTGGCAGGTGGAACATGGGCCCAGAGGAAGAAGTGAGCATCACTGCAAGGTTCCCAGCAGCATGTGCTGCAAGGGGCAAGTGTGAGTGGGGGTTGGGAGAGGCGGATTGTGGACGCCCAAGGACACAGGTGGTAAGGGGACACATGGCTCCAGGTTCAGCTAGAGGGCTCCCCAGAGGAGAGGACCCAGATTCCATGGGCAGACCTTGGACCCTGAAGTGAAGGACTCCGTGTAGTCAGAGGACACCATGGGAGCATGACACCCGCCAGAGTGATTACACAGCAAACACCAGGGCTTCTCGTCCACGCTGGCTGGGTGGAGGGGGAGGCCCACCTTCCACCCCGAGCCAGGGTTCCTGGAAGTGCTGTTGTGTTCCTGGCTCCAGAGCAGACATTCCCAGGGGCATGGAGGGAGTGATATGTACCCAAAACAGCTCACCCCTGGTGTGGAAATGGGGGCAGAGGTCTCCCTGCACTGGGGCAGTGCCACCCTTCAAGGCCCCAGTCCCTCAGAACCAGGAAGGGCCTGGACCTTGGCTTCTCGGAGCAGGTCAGGGGAGGACCTTCTTAAGTCCCTGGCTCGGCCTGCACCGCCCAGCTCCCCTCTTGCTGGTCACCCTGGTGAACCCCTGGACTTTGCAGGCCAGCCTTGAGAGTGCTTCATTCCCACGGTACCACACCTGCCCCCTGCTGCTTCTGGCAGCATCCCCAGGGGCTCAGTCAGTAGGGGCCCTGATCCTCCTGATGGGGCCGTACTCTCTGCTCTATACATCCATCCAAAGCACTTGGGGGATAAGATCCCCATGTACAACAGAAGGTCAAGTTTGTCTAGGTCAAATTTATTTATCTTTCTAGTTGTTTATGAAATTTCAGGGGTTTGGGTGCCTGGGTGGCTCAGTTGCTAGGCGTCTGCCTTCGGCTCAGGTCATGATCCCAGGTCCTGGCATTGAGCCCCACATCGGGCTCCCTCCTTGGAGGGAAGCCTGCTCTCCCTCTCCCACTCCCGCTGCTTGTGTTCCTGCTCTTGCTGTCTCTGTCTCTGTCAAATAAATAAATAAATAAATCTTAAAAAAAAAAGAAAAGAAATTTTAGGGGTTTTTTTAGACTTAATTATTTTTATTTTGTTTCTGTTTTTTAAATTTTATTTAAATTCAATCCAATTAATTAAGGGCGACTGGGTGGCTCAGTCGGTGAAGCATCTGCCTTCGGCTCAGGTCATGATCCCAGGGTCCTGGGATCGAGCCCTGCCCTCCGGCTCCCTGCTCGGCGGGAAGCCTGCTCCTCCCTCTGCCTCTGCCCCTCCCCACCACTCACGCTCTCTCTCCCTCACACTCTCTCTCTGTCTCAAAATCTTTTTAAAAAAATAAATTTCAATTAATTAACATAGCATGTTGTTAGTCTCAGAGGTAGAGTTCAGTGGTTCATCAGCTGCGTATAACACCCAGTGCTCATTACGTCACCTGCCCTCCTTAATTTCACAGTTATTCCATCGCCCCATCTTTCCCTACAACAACCCTCGGTTTGTTTCCTAGAGTTAAGAGTCTCTCATGGGGGGCGCCTGGGTGCCTCCGCCGCTAAGCGTCTGCCTTCGGCTCGGGTCACGGTCCCGGGGTCCCGGGATCGAGCCCCGCATCGGGCTCCTGCTGGGCGGGAGGCCTGCTGCTCCCTCTCCCACTCCCCCGCTTGTGTTCCCTCTCGCTGTGTCTCTCTGCCAAATAAATAAATAAAATCTTCAAAAAAAAGTCTCACAGTTGTCTCCCTCTGATTTCACCTTGTTCTGCTTTTCCCTTCCTTCCCTTACGCTCCTTTGTTTCATTTCTTAAACTCCACAGATGAGGGAGATAATATGATCGCTGTCTTTCCCTGATTGCATTCTTTGGCTTAGCGTAATACACTCTGCTTCCATCCATGTTGTTGCAAATGGGAAGATTTCTTTTTTTCTTTTTTCTTTTTTTTTTGCTGGCTGAGTAGTATTCGATCGTGTATATATGAAACACGTCTTCTTTTTTTTTTTTAAAGATTTATTTATTTATTTGAGAGAGCGAGAATGAGAGAGAGAGCACATGAGAGGGGAGGAGGGTCAGAGGGAGAAGCAGACTCCCCGCTGAGCAGGGAGCCCGATGCGGGACCCGATCCCGGGACTCCAGGACCATGACCTGAGCCGAAGGCAGTCGCCCAACCAACTGAGCCACCCGGGCGCCCTGAACCACGTCTTCTTTACCCATTCATCTGTCCATGGACATTTGGGCTCTTTCCATAGTTTGGCTGTTGTGGACATTGCTGCTGTAGGCATCAGCTGCATTTCTATACACCAACAATGAGACAGAAGAAAGAGAGATTGAGGAATCAATCCCATTTACAATTGTACCAAAACCCATGAGATACCTAGGAATAAACCTAACCAAAGAGGCAACAGATTTGTACTCTCAAACTACAGAACACTTATGTGTAGATTAAATTTAGTTAGATACCGCCCGCTTTCCTCTTTCCCAGTACCCAGGCCTGGGCTCCCCTCCCCGCCAGCGCCTTTGTGCATGGCACGGCCTGGGCAGCCCTCTGTCCTTCCTGGGTTAACTGCCCACACACTCCATCCTCTCTCAGTCCTCATTCTGAGCTGATATAAACAATGTCTCCCCACCTCTACCCCCCAATTAGGGCTCGGTCTGGGTTGACCTTGCTCAACTGCTCTATCTTGTGCTGGCCCCTCTGCCAGGCACACCGTCAGTGCCAAGTATGGGTGGCTGACGGCACAGAGGCTGAGGGATGGACATCATGACCCAGATGGCCCTGTCCTGTCCTGAAGAGGTAGCCCTTCTCTGGCTTCTCAGCCTGGGCCTGGGTGGTGGGCGATCCCAAGCCACAGCCCAGACCTCCAGTCCTGGTACCAGCTGGGTCTTGAGCTGAGCTCCTGCCTGGGGAGTGGGTGTTCCTGGGGAGACAGAGGCATCCCACCACCCCAGCACAGACCAGCTCCTTATTTGGGAGGTGGGGTGAGGCTCAGGGCTGGCTCCTGGAAGCAAGCCAGCCAACGCCTGCCCTACAGTCCTGGAGAAAAATGCGGAAAAGGGGCGGGAGGGTGACATCACTGCAGTGCTCCACCTGCTGGGGCAATTAGCGGGGGCAGGGCGGGCCGGAGTCATACCCAAGAAGACCCCACAGCCCGAAGAGCCGAAGGTCGGACGAAGTAAACCCAGGTTAGTGCCCAGCTATGGAGGGGCCGCGGCGGCGGGCAGTTGGGGCCTGAGGTCAGGTTGGGGTCTACGGCAGCAGTGTTAGCTCTGCAGGGCGAGTGTGATTTGCATCCGCCCCTAGATATTTATGGGTCAGTCTGTGGGTGACTCAGTGGGTCCTGGGGGGGGGGTGTCCCTGCCCTGGAGCGAGCTCCTCAGTGTCCAGAGTGGGTGTTGGAGGCAGACCCCGGAGGGACGGGGTGGTGACTGCCCAGACACCAGTGGCCCTCCCCTCGCAAGTATCCAGACTGGTACGAGGCTCTCAGGGCCCCAGACTCCGTGCGTCCCAGGCCTGAGCTCGTCCCTCCCCATCCCCCTGGGCTACCGTGTGTTCCCTCGCCCTCCCCCCGGAGGCCCGGCCTTGGGGCTCGGGGCCGGGGGCGGGGCTCCAGGGCCCCCGGAGGGCGCGGCCGTTCCCCGCGCGCTCCGATTGGGCCGCGCGTGTCGGCCCCGCCCCTGCCCACCCCCACTAAAAACACCGCCGCCGCAGCCGCGGTCTAGCGCAGCGTCTCCGCCTCTGCCGGCGGAGACCTAGAGCTGGAGCGACCGCCGGGCCGACCTCGGCCCCAGAGCGAGAGTGAGCGCCCGGTGCGCAGCGAGCCCCGGAGCCCGGCGGGCCGCAGCGATGTTCCCCAAGGAGGCGACGTGGAACATCTCGTTCGCGGGCTGCGGCTTCCTCGGCGTCTACCACATCGGCGTGGCCTCCTGCCTCCGCGAGCACGCGCCCTTCCTGGTGGCCAACGCCACGCACATCTACGGCGCCTCGGCCGGGGCGCTCACGGCCACGGCGCTGGTCACCGGAGCCTGCCTGGGTGAGCGGGGTTGGGCGGGGGTCCGGCAGGGGTACTGCCTGGGCAAGCGGAGGCCGGACGCGGGGGAGGGGGGGGCACCCTGCCTCGGTGAACCGAGGCCGGGCGGATGCTCTTCGGGAGCGTAGAGCGGCCCCCCCCCCCCCCCGCCGTCCCTCCGCAAGGGGAAGCTGGCCGGGCCGCCGTGCGGTGGGGAGGGAACTCTGCCCGCGCCCAGGACCCGCACCGAAGCTCCGATCCCAGGAGCAGGCCCCGGGGCGGGGCCTGGTTTGTTTTGCTCCGAGGCGCCCCGGGATTGGGGTGCGGCCATGCGCACCTCTGGCGCCGAGGCACAGGGTGCAAAGGTTGGAGGGTCTGGCAGGTGCCGCCGACGTATTTCATTGGGAAGAGAAAGTAACTCGTGGGCGGGACCGTGAGAGTTGGGGGAGGGACCTCACCACCCCCGTAGCCTGGCAGTGGACTGGATGCCAGCGGTCACCGTGTCCTGGGGCTGCGCTGTTCCAGGCTGCCGTGTCCCCGGGGCCCTGTATGAGGGTGGCCTCTTAAGAGCATTTGGGCACTGTGGCCTGGTGCCTACCAGGGCATCTGGAAGCTCAGGCCCGGGCATGGCAAGCCCTCCCCTCCCCCCCCCTTTCCCCCCAGCACATCACCCACTGTGGGCGTGATTTGCATCCGCCCCTAGATATTTATGGGTCAGTCTGTGGATGGGTCCCCAGTTGTGACCAACGTTTTTTTGCCCACTCCCTGGGGTGGGAGGTGCTTCTGAACTCTCCAGCCCCGTGGGCGGCATTGCAGTTTGTGTGTATTGGGATGGGCTTCTCCACTCACACACGCTTCCGGCAGGGCACTTACAAGTGCTGTTTACGGCACACTGAGTACTTAGGGAGTCCTGGGATTGGTGCCCAGCCCCCAGCCTACTAGGGCAGCCAAGGTGACAGAAGGGTCATCAGTTCTCAAATGCCAAGCCCAGCAGAGGCCTGTCCAGGGTTCTTCCCTGCCCCCTTCCCATGAACTTTGCCCTGAGGGAGGTGGGGTGGAAGGAGCACAGCTCTCCATCCTTGGGACCTGGGGGTTCGCCTCTGTGGCCCTGCCCCTCCCTCCCTTGGAAGCCTTCAGGCCATTGTGTCTCTCAGACTTGCCTGCTGGCCTCAGGACACACCTGGCTCTCACAGGACCTCCTCTTCCCACCCCCACGAAGCCTCTTTTCAGGAGTGGTCTTGGGCAACTGCAGTCCCCACAGCACGGCAGGTTCTGACCCCACTTCTGACTAGGACTGCCTGATCTGCAGCTCCTCCCCAAGGCCCTCCCACTCTGTGACCACTCCAGGACCCCTACTTCTGTTTTTGTGTGAGGCCAGCAGCCATGGGTTCCCAGGAAGAGTCTTGCTTGGCAGGAGCTTGGTCTTGGCAGCAGTGGGTCACGATCGTGCTTTTTCAGGGGTGGTGGGACCCCACTCTTTCCAGCCTCATGCCCACAGGCCTGTGCTGGGCTCCCTGGATCTGGATCTGGCCAAGTGGGTGAAGGCTAAGACTGGTCAGGATTGAACCTCTGCCTTCCCCTCTTCCCAGGCTGGGGGCCACGCCAGGCCAGGCCTAATGACGCATGGATCCGGCCAAGCAGTTGGGAAATACCGGGCAGAGGGCAGGCCTTGGCCGCAGCTGTCAGCCCTCCCCGGGTGGTGGCCTGCCTCTGTCTCTCCAGGGGCAGGTAGCAGAAGTCGCAGTTGTGGGCCAGGCCCCGTGCTGGATACTGGGAATTCCCAGGGTAGATGGAGATGCCACAAGTCTGTGTGCTGTGGGACTCTGCGTGTGGAACCATGGGGGGTGTGCTAAGCCAGGAGTGCTGGCCCCTGACCCTTGGCCCTTCTGACCTAGGCGAGGCAGGTGCCAACATCATCGAGGTGTCTAAGGAAGCCCGGAAGCGGTTCCTGGGTCCACTGCACCCCTCCTTCAACCTGGTAAAGACTATCCGTGGTTGCCTGCTGAAGACCCTGCCTGCTGACTGCCACGAGCGTGCCAGTGGGCGCCTGGGCATCTCCCTGACCCGTGTCTCTGATGGCGAGAACGTCATTATATCCCACTTCAACTCCAAGGATGAGCTCATCCAGGTGGGCCCTGGTGGGGCCGCACTGGGGGTGTACTACGAACTCCAGGCCTCTGCTCACCACCCACCCCTGTCCCTGCCCCACAGGCCAATGTCTGCAGCACCTTCATCCCTGTGTACTGTGGCCTCATCCCTCCCTCCCTCCAGGGCGTAGTAAGTATCCCCTGGCACATTTCCTGGGTGATAAGAGTTGGCCATTGTGTGAGCAGTGGGACACGGCAGTGCGGAAGAGGAAGGCCGTCGGTGCCCGCCCCCCGTTTACCCCTTGCACTACCTGTTGCCTCACTTCCCCCCAGTTGCTCAACAGCAGGCAGGCCCCCTGGAGACACCATACTTCCTGTGGCTGTCTCCACCCCGCCCCCATGGTCGGGGCCAGGCAGGCCTGTGGCCAGTGCCCAGTGCCCAGTGGGTGAAAGGCACAAAGGAAGTAGCCACTGGGTGGGGCCCAAGGTGGCCCAGTGGGCCAGTCAGCTTTGTCCTCAGGCCCCTCCCTGTGTAACCATGTGTCCTGGCCGCAGCGCTATGTTGATGGTGGCATCTCAGACAACCTGCCACTCTATGAGCTCAAGAACACTATCACCGTGTCCCCCTTTTCGGGGGAGAGTGACATCTGCCCACAGGACAGCTCCACCAACATCCATGAGCTCCGGGTCACCAACACCAGCATCCAGTTCAACCTGCGCAATTTGTACCGCTTGTCCAAGGCCTTGTTCCCGCCCGAGCCCACAGTGAGTCCGCTGGAGCCCCCCGGTGAGCCCTGTGCCGGGGAGGTAGGGGCCTGAGGGCCTCTCCACTGGGGCCACCTGTCCAGCCTGGATCCAAGTTAGCTTGGTGGAGGGGAGGGGTAGCAGGGACGCCAGGGCCTCTAGGGGGCAGGACAGGGCTCATGTGGCCGCCTGCTCTAATTTACCACCCCCCTGCCTCAGGTGCTGCGAGAGATGTGCAAGCAGGGCTATAGGGATGGCCTGCGTTTTCTGAGGCGCAACGGTGCGTGGGTGCCCCCTGGAGCGGCTGTGGGCGGGGTGGGATGGTGGCTCTGCACTGTTGTCCGGGCTGTAGTGCTGATCACCCGTCTGGGGTCCCCACCCAGGCCTCCTGAACCGGCCCAACCCTCTGCTGGCGCTGCCCCCTGCACACCCCCCTCCCCCCAAGGACGAGGATATGGAGGATGCTCAGGCGGCCACAGAGAGGGCCCCAGTGGACAGCCACTTGCAGCCACCCCTGGAGGATCACATCCTAGAGCATCTGCCTTCACGGCTCAATGAGGGTGTGTGGAGGCGGGGGCTCCTGGCTGGGCGGGGGCCCAGGGTGCCTGGCTGGGGGGGTGGGGAATGAGGGTCGGGAGGCGCAGGCCCTGGCTGGGGGGGCGGAAATGAGGGTGAAGGCGGGGTGGGGGGCGAGGGCTCCTGGCTGGGGGGGCGGAAATGAGGGTGAAGGCGGGGTGGGGGCTGGGGGCTCCTGGCTGTGGGGGGGAATGAGGGTGTGTGGAGGCAAGGTGGGGGGGGAGGGGCTCCTGGGGGGGGGAAGCCAAGGAGCAGAGAGGTCCTGGCCTCCCCAGCTGGCGGTCAGCTTCCCTCCTGCGTCCCACCCCCAGCCCTGCTGGAGGCCTGCATAGAGCCCAAGGACCTGCTGACCACCTTCTCCAACATGTTGCCTGTGCGTCTGGCCACAGCCATGATGGTGCCCTACACTCTGCCACTGGAAAGCGCGGTGTCCTTCACCATCCGGTGAGGGGAGTAGGGGGTTTGGGGCAGGGAGCATGGGGGACCGAACTTTGGGGTCATCCGTGAGTGCTGGACGCCCTAGAGGGAAAAGGCCACTGGTTGGGGGAGGCTGCAGAGATGCCGTGTCGAGTCTTCCAGAAGCTGGGGCACAGGTGGGGGTAGAGCGGGCATGGGTGTGAGGGCCGAGCTGTAGACCCTGAGGCCATGCCTCCCATCCCCCCCAGCTTGCTGGAGTGGCTGCCTGACGTCCCTGAGGACATCCGGTGGATGAAGGAGCAGACGGGTAGCATCTGCCAGTACCTGGTGATGCGAGCCAAGAGGAAGCTGGGCAGCCACCTGCCCGCCAGGTGAGCCCCCCTCCCTGTTGTGTCTGCCCAGGGTCCGAAGCCTCAGTGGCGTCCACGGAAGCCCTCCGGCCCTCCATCCCTCCCCCTGCAGGCTGTCAGAGCAGATGGAGCTACGCCGCACGCAGTCGCTGCCCTCTGTGTCGCTGTCCTGTACGGCCTACAGTGAGGCGCTGCCCGGCTGGATGCGCAACAGCCTGTCGCTAGGGGACGCGCTGGCCAAGTGGGAGGAACGCCAGCGCCAGCTGCTCCTGGGCCTTCTCTGCACCAACGTGGCCTTCCCGCCGGATGCCCTGCGCATGCGTGCTCCCGCCAGCCCTGCCCCCACGCCCCCACAGCTCCCACCCGCCGTGCCCCCTTGCTGAGCGCCCTTGCTCCACCCTTCCCCAGCCCCCTGGGGCCCCGGTGCTGAGGGCTGGGCCCCCCAGCTTCCCTGCCCTGTGAGGTGGGGCCCTGGGGTGGGCTGAGGACCCCCCCCCCCCACTCCCGGGCCTCTCTCCATTACCCCTGCAGCAGGAAGGAGATGGGGTCCCTCACAGCTGCTAGAAGGGCACTTGCTATCAACCCCCTCCACCAACCACTCACGGGCTGCACCTGTGCCTTAGTCTCCCCCTCAGGCCCCACCCCAGAACTGGGGAGGAGGGTGGGGCTGCACTTCCTGGGGCCCCCAAGTCAGTGCAGTATTACCCCGGAGAACTTTGCACCTGCTCCTCCCTCCTCATTTGTCATGTTTTGCTGAAGAATGTATGTGAAGAATTATTTATTTTCGCCAAAGCATATGTAATAAATGACATGGCTCAGCCCCGCCTCCTTCACTCGTGTGTGACTCCCTGGCCAATGTCTCTACTTCGGGTCAGGCTTTCAGGGGTCCTGTGCTCCTTGAGCCTGGCATTCGGTCCTGCCAGCCAGGCCTGAGGCCTTCCCTTAAAGGCCCTCGTGGGCCTCCTGGGTTCTAGTGCACTTCTCTGGCTGGGGCCCGTACGTTTGCCCCACTTTGTCCTGAGGTCTGCTGGCGGGCCCTTGGGCACAGCTTTCCAAGGGCCAGCAGAAATATTGGGACCAAGATCCCTGCTAAATAAAAACTAAGAAATGTTTACAAAAGGTGGCGTCTTCATTTCCACTCAATGGTGACGCAGGTGGTGTGGGGCTGATCTCAGGGTTGGATGGCTGTGGAGGGTGGGGTTCCCCAGCTGAGCACCGAGGACCTGGGAGGCATGGGACCTGTTCCACTTTGGGCATTTGGCTCAAGGCGCTGGGCCTTCCCCCTTGGCAAACCTCACTGGCCAGCGTACACACCTTCTCGATCCCCTGCCCCCTTCCCACCACACAAGGTACCCAGTCTCCTGCCAATATATAGGAGGAGTATGGAATGTCGGGTTGGGTGAGGTCTGACCTCGAGGAGGCTGGACCTTGTTCCGTGGGAGACATAGTTTCCTGAAAGCATCCTCTGATCTGGACAGTCTGAGGGGATGCAGCCCTTTTTGGTGACCAAAATGGCCCATGGTTGAGGGGCACTGGAGCAGAGCTGGGTGGCTGGCTGGCTGTCCAGAGCTCTGAGTCCTGACCAAGGTATCAGGCAGCTATGGCGGTGGTGGCAGCCCCCAGCCAACAATAACGGTGGGACCCTGCAGGACTTGGAGAGCCGGCTCGGCAGGTCCCCACGTGCCTGTGCCAGGAGCCGTCCCCCCTGGCTCTCAAGGTCCCGTCCTGCAGGCCCAACCTGTTCTAGCTCAGCAGGATCCCAGGCCCCTGGAGAAGCAGAGGTTTCCGGACCCCCAACCACCCTCCAGGTGGGTACAGGGGCTGGGTTGGGGCTAGGGAGGGGGACCTTTGGCAAGAGAATGGGTTTTCTCCCCGCAGCAGGAAGTTCCCATGCCAGCCCCACCCGGCACCTTCTCCCAGTGCTCCTTCAAAGGGAACCCAAGCCAGGGCTGTGCCCCAAAAGGAGAGCTTGGGGGCAGGCTGCAGAGGAGAGGGCCTCCTTCTGCTCCCACCCCAACTCACTCGCTCCCACACTTGCACAGCTATCATGCGGCTAATTTAAATACCATTTTGTAAGATATTACGAGCTAATTGTTTAACCACGGGAAAGACGAAAACTGGGAAAGCATAGGCAAGCAAGTAAAGTGCCCCCCACTCCGAGAGATTACCATTGAAGATATTTTCGTCTGTCTCCTGCCTGGCTTGGTCCTGCACACACTTTTTGGCGCCTTAAATCCGGATCCTCAGGACAGCCCCACCCTCCTCGCCTTAGCCCAGCTCGGGAAGTGTCCCCAGGCCAGCGGGGGCATCTCCGCCCGGGGCCGTGAACTCCGCGCAGTCGGGACAGACGGCGGGGGCGCCGGGGGCCGGGGACCGGGCGTGGTGTGGGGCGAGAGCCGGGCCTCCAGGGCAGCGCCGAGAGGCGGAGACACTGGGACGGTAGCGGCGGCGGCTCCGCCCGGGCCCGGCCCACGCCGGGGTCTCAGTTCCTGCAGGGCAGCGGGAGCAGCTCCGGGCCCGCGCCCCCCGCGCGCCGCCGCCTTTCCAGAGGAGCTGCGGGCCGCGCGACGGGTGCGGCGGGCGGCTCGCAGGTAAGCGCCTCGGGGGTCCCGCCGCCGCGCCCCCTCCCCGGTGGCCGCGGGGCGCGCCGACCCTCGCGTCTGGCCGGCGGGGACGTCGGGGCTCTGGGGAGCGGAGCGGCGGTGGGCGCAGCGGCTCGCGGGCCGGCCTTCTTCCCCGCTTTCCCCCGGCCCGCGCCGCACAGCTTCCGGCTGGGATGGACCTCCAGTCCCCGGAGCCCACGGGCCGCGGGGGCTGGGGTGGGGGCGCCCGCCGGGGCGAGGCGACGGCGCGAGGCGGGAGACGGTCCTGAGGCCCCCAGTTCCCTCCTCCCGCCTTTCCTCAGACCTGCGCTCTTTGGAGATTGCGCCCCGACACCCCTCCGCCCGAGGAATATAATATGGGCGGGAGAGAAAATCAAGGTCCTGGACTGAGAGGAGAGGACCCCAGAATCCCCCAGGCTGGGGGAAATGTCGCCACACTGGGGGTTAGCTTTGGGAAATCCGGGACCAGGGCGTTGTGGGAACGACAGGTGGCTCTGATTAGGGGGCGGGGCGCCCCGCGGGGAGGGAGGCCCCGCGAAGTTTCCACGAACTGGAGGGAGTTGAGTCTGGCGGACCACAAGTGCCTAGTGCTTGGGGGAAGGGCCATCAGGCCTAGAATCTGGCGTGTTCTCGACAAGGGCCATGGAAGGCATGGGCATACCAGGCTGAAACCCTGCATCTGCAACTCTTGGGGCCAGGGGCCCGGTGGGAGGGGCTGCGGCCGAAGGGGAGGAGCTTAAGTCGTCGGTTAGCCGGCTGGAGGCCAGGACGTCTGAGGCCCAGACTCTGGGGCTAAAGACTTAGCCAGGATTGGCTGAACGCTCCCGCTGGCCCAGCCCGGTCAGCCAGGTCTCCAGGTGTCCAGCTTTAGGACCTGTTCAGCTCCTCCCCTCCGCTGGCCAGTCCCTCACCCAAGCTCTCTCCCCTCAGCTGCCAGGCGCCCCCACCTCCTTATTTTCCATCACAAGGTCTTCTGTAGCTGCCTCCCCCCACCCCAGGTTGCCCTCCCCCAGCTCCTCTCCTCCTGCACTGGCTGCCCCCTGAGCCACAGCCTCTAGCTCCCTGGGCAGCCCCCACAGCCCACAGGCCTGGAGCCTGCTTCACTCCCACCCATGACACCCCTTGCCTGCAGCACTACCCCCAAGTGACTGTCCTGCCCCCAGCTACACTGCTCTCTGGACCTCTGCCATGCCTTCTCCCGGCTTCCCACCTGGTGCAGGGAGGCCCCTCTGCTCACTCACGGCTCCCTACAAGCCCAGCTTAGTCCCCACCCACGGCCACTCCACCTTCCCTTCTCTCCCACTCTCATCTTGAGCTTTGCTTCGGCCCTGACTGTTCCCTGACTTCACAGCGCACGATGGCAGAGACCCCCACTCCCATGGCCAGGCCTGGGAAGCCCGGTGCCGGGGAGGCCCAGGAGGAGAAGGAAGTGGAAGAGGGGAGCGCCGGGAGGCCAAGGGCAGAGGTGCTAGAGCAGGCCCAGGAATTGTTTCTGCTCTGTGACAAGGACGCCAAGGGCTTCATCACTCGGCACGACCTGCAGGTGAATCCCCAGTCCCAGGAGGCTGCCCCAGCCAGGGGCCGACCTTGGCTGCTCAGCCCTGCCATCCTTGCCTGGCTAGGGTCTACAGAGTGACCTGCCCCTCACGCCTGAACAGCTAGAGGCTGTGTTCGAAAGCCTGGACCAGGCCCACACAGGCTTCCTCACCGCCTGGGAGTTCTGCCTCGGCCTGGGTGAGATGAGCCCCCGAGGCCCCCCTCCCCCCCACCCCGCTGCGCAGAGACCCTCCACTGGCACATGTGGGGCCCACACCCAACACACATGGCTGCCTGTGCCTCGCCATGGCCTTCCTACGGAGCACAGACTGGTATCAATACACACAGGCACCAGATGTCACCAGAGGTGTGCAGCTGACCCTCCTGCTCCATCACCCCCTCCCTTCCGTGCCAAACCCCAGTGGGGCTGGAGCCAGGCTAGCTCCACTCTGGCCCGGGTGGGTGTTATCTCCCATTCCTAAACCAAGAATCAGGCCAGAATAAGGAAGAAAAACAGGAAACTGGGCTCAGAATGAGGACAGGATGTGTGGGGGGGGGGCGGGGGGGGGCGAGTGGTGGCTGAGCGGGGTGCCAACCCACAGCCTTGCTAATCTCGCCTTCCCATGCCCACAGGGAAGTTTGTGGGGGTGGAGTCAGCCCAGGGTGCACTGCCCTCCCGGGCTCCCGAGGAAACCTTTGAGTCGGGCTGGTCAGATGTGCAAGGCACTGAGGGCTCTCTGGAGGAAGAGGAGGAGGAGAGATTCTGCGAAGTGCTGGAGCAGCTGGGGGTGGCCCCAGCCCTGGGCGAGTGAGTTGGTGCCGAGGCGGCTCCCAGTTCCCTCTTCTGTCTCCCCCGTGCACGCTGCCTGTCCTCGTCGCTCGTGTCTGTTCCAGTTCAGGGTCCCTACGCTGGGGCTGGCCCAGTCGGTCTCTGTCAGCTGTGACACCTGGGAGGGGCTGAGTGTGATCTCCCGCAGAATTTGCATTTCAGGGGGCAGCCGACAAGGCTGTGGGAAGAAGGGCAGGCGCTGGGCACAGCTGTGTGTGTATACAAAGAACCTTGCTGCCCTACAAGCCCCGTACACACCGACCTCAGGCAGGGGCAGAAGCACCCACGAGAGGGTACCCCACATGCAGCAAACGCAGCAAACCGTAGGGTTTGCAAGTCTCCAGAAGGCTTACCCTTCAGGATGGGATCGGTGAGCCCCCGTTTCCAATTTCAGCCCCTGCCCTCCCCCTGCAGGCAGCGAGCGGTGAGGACGCTCTGGACCCGGCTGCAGCGCGAGCGACCCGAGCTGCTGGGCTCCTTCGAGGACGTTCTGATGCGCGCGTCGGCCTGCTTGGAGGAGGCGGCCCGAGAGCGGGACAGCCTGGAGCAGACGCTGCGGCGGTGAGGGCTGGGACCAGGGCGGGGCCTGGGGCCCAGGTGTCTGGACTTCGGGAGGCAGTAGAAGCGGGGCTGAGGGGTGTAGTGCGGGTCGGCTCAAAGCAGCTGCCTCATCCCCTGCCCCCCGGAGGCGGGAGAGCGAGCACGAGAGGGAAGTGCGGTGTCTGTACGAGGAGATGGAGCAGCGGCTTCGCGAGCAGCGCCAGCGTCTGCGGAGTCAGGTGGGCCTGACGCCCCAGCCCAGCCCCGCGCAGCCCGATCCCAGACGCACGTGTCTCCCTGACTCCGTTCCACCCCCCTCCACACACACCCGTCCCTGCCCCTCCACCGCCCGCTGAGGCTCAGGAGCTCCCCGCGAATCCCAGGACCTCCCCCGGGAGGAGCGCAGAGGCCTCCTGGAGCTGGAGCTGCAGAGCCGCGAGCAGGAACTGGAGCGCGCGGGCCTGCGACAGCGGGAGGTGAGTGGCCGTCCGCCCCTGCCAGGGAAGGGTGGGACCCGCGGAGCCCAGGGCCCTGTCCCCACCGTCACCCGCGCACGGTGTGCTTGAGGTTCCCTGGGCCTCAGTGCCCCCGGCCCTGGAACCGCTGGGAGT